GTTCAGATCCTGGGCATGGACCTACACACTGTGCATCAAGCCATGCTGTGGTGGCATCCCACATACAAAGTAGAGGAAGATTGGCACAGATGTTAGCTCAGGGCTAATCCTTCTCACCAAAAAAAAGATGGTTTGGTATTGTCATAACAATAAACAAATAAATCAATGGAATAGATTGAGAGTACAGAAACAATTAAACCCAATTATAAATCAATTGATTTTCAAGCTAGGTGCCAATGCAACAAAATGGGGGAAATTTCTTCAACAAATTCTACTTGAACAATTGGACAGATGTATGTAAAATGTGAATTTTGACACTTAACCCTTTTGCATCATAAACACACACAAAATTAACTCAAAATGGCTTAAAAGAATAAGTATAAGCTTTCTAGAAGAAAACACAGGATAAAATCTTAGTGACCTTGGGTTTGGCAAAGATTTCTTAACTTTGACACAAAAGGCACAAACTAAAAATTAAAAAATCAATAAATCAGACTTTAATAAAATTAAAAACTTTTGCTATTCAAGAGACACTATTAAGAAAATGAAAAGGCAAACCACAGACTGAGAGAAAATAGTTCCAAAACATATATCTGATAAAGACTTGTATCTAGAATATATAAACATCTCTTATAACACAATAATAGAAAGACAATCCAATTAAAAATGGTCAAAATATTTGAACAGACACTTCACCAAAGAAGACATATAGGAGTCAAATAAACACATGAAAAGATAATCATCAGGGAAATTAAAATTAAAATCATGAGTTACAACTATACATCCAGCAGAATGTCTAAAATTAAAAAGACTGACCATACCAAATTTTATCAAGGATATGCAGCAACTGCAACTGGTATACACTTGTGCTGTATTTGTCATAGCCAAAAACTGGAGACAACTAAAATGTACATCAACAGGTGAATGGATGACCAGATTGTGGTACATCCATACAGTAGTTTCTACTCAGCAAATAGAGAAATAAACTATTGACACACAAACAACATGAGTGAATCTTATTACTATGCTGAGTGAAAGCAGCACAAGAAAACATTTTGGGGTGGTGGATATGTACCTTATCTTGATTGTGAAGATGGTTTCATGGATGTACACATGGCTTTAGAGTCAGATAGATGTGAGTTTGAATGCCAGCTCTGCTCTTATCACCTTCCATAAGTTACCTATCTGAGTTTCAGCCTCTATGTTTATTTATGTGGTAGTAAGAATATTTTATGTGAGGATAAGAATATATGTGTCAAAGGCTTGCTGTATTAAACATGGTAATGCATATAAAGTACCCAGCATAGTACTTTATTAATCTTCCCATCATGACCACTAGCCATGATACGATTTATTTCAACATTAGCCGAGACTAGCCCTGTGTAAATGCCCATGTCTTCTGTCCATTTGTACTCTGTCCCCCTTCTGTGAAACACACCTCCTTAGGACTGCTTTTCTACCAAAGATGTCTGTCCTCTACCTCTTGAAACAAAACAGAATATCTGTTTTGATGTTGTTTTAGAACTTTCACCCTTTATAAACTTTAGAACTTTCACCCCTTATAAACTATGTTATTCCTTCTGTCCTTATTTCATTTTTGCCTCGCATTGAGAGTTAAGTTAATCAAGCTCTTCATTCATGGCCTACTCAGTAGCCACTGTCTTTGCAAGGTCCTCCTCTTGTATTATTTATTCGTTTTTCTCCTTTATCCCTAAACCCATTTCCATTAACCCCTCCTAAATAGGCACTCTTACAATGTTTGCTATATACCCTTATATATGTATGTGTACATGTATGCATGTACATGATTTAATGTATTTAAATGGTATTGTGCTATAGCTCTTATTTTTCCCTTTATGCTCCATTTTAAGGATCTGCCCTATTTGCTCTACATACCTCCAATAAATTGCTTCCAACTCTGTATTGTATCTACCAAAGTTAACTCATTGACTCTCTTAGAGATGGATGCTTGTGTGACCAACTTCCTGCTATCACAAACAATAATGAAATAATTATCAGTACTTGTCTCCTTGTGGACCCATATAAGAAATTCCCTGGGACACACATCCAAACGGTAGGATTGCTAGGCCACAGGACAGACAAATAATTAATTTTACTAACTCAGTCCTTCAAGACTGCTTCTCAAAATGTTTGAATAGTTTATACTTTCATCAGCATTTGGAATTAATGACCTTGCTAATTCTTGCTAGTATAATAGGTACCTCATTTTAATTTTTATTTCTCAGATACTAGTAAGTTTGAGCATCACTTCCTATTCTTATTAACTACTCAGCTTTTCCCTTTGTAGATCACATTCTTATCCTTTGACCATTTTTATATTGAGTTTCCTATCTTTTACTTGTTGATTTGTAGCTCCTAGGAGTGTTTCAACATTAATGTCATTAATTTTATGTGTTGCTAAAAGCTATTCCAGTCTGTCACCAGCCTATTAACTTTTTTTATGGTGTTGTTCATTGACTAAAAATCCTTCATTTTAATATAGCCATAGCCATCATTTCTTAACCAAATTTTTAAAAATTATTGTTGGGTTATACTTAAGAAGTACAGCCCCTCACTTATATTTTGTTCTACTAACTTACAGTTTACCTTTTAACTCATCTTTAATCTATCTGGAGTCCAACTTTTTCTATGATGCAATGAAGAAATTTGTTTTTCTCCCTATTGTGAGCCAGTGTTCCAATACCAGCTCCTAAAGAGTCTGTCTTTACTCCATATGTAAGCAACGCATCTTTATCATATATCGCTAACATTTCTTTGATAAAAAGGAGAATGCTCTTGGAAGAATGGTGACCCAGGAAGGATAAGATGGGTAAGAGAAATATTCCTGCCCATCCTTCTTCAGGAGCGTAATGGTGACTGCTCACTACCAAATCAGCCTTCTGAAGGCATACACAAATAAGAAATCTTGAACTCACCCAGTGGCTCTAAATGCACTTCTTAAAAATCAAGACGAAAGAAAGAAAGAGTCGTCTTAGTTCAAGTGCTTCAGATATTTCATTTGAATTGCTGCAATTCTGTCAATGTTTAGTAGCATAACAATATGTTTCTATGTCATACTACATAAATAAAATGTTTGAATGGCATAACTATACTTTACATTGCATCATAATTGTACTTCTGCAGTAGCTATTTAAGATGCGTGCAGACCTGTTATCCACAAAATTTTCTGATTTTTCCCAAAGCTTCATAAAATTCATGGAATGATTTATGGTACTTGGCATGATATAGGAGTTAACTGGTAAATTTTTTGTAAGCAAGGAAAAATCTAGGCCCAAACAGATCTGATTTATGGCTTAATTCAGTATTCTATACATAAAAAGTCCTCAAAGAAAATGTCCTTGGCTGATTACCTGGCTGAGAGCCCATACATTTACTAGGATGGAATTTACATGCAGAAGGAAATCCTCTTTCATGAAAGTCATGATCTATTTGCCTTTGCCTTTTGTTAAGAGGCAAAAACACCAGAGACTTCAAGGACTATAATGTTGTGTAAAACTTACCTCCATCCAGTTGTTCATGGAGTCCTTTCCAGGGACCATAAAGCACTATGGACTATATGCTTAAGTGATCATTTCTGCCTTACCCTTGGATTTCGATGGAAATTATTTTGGAATCTTGTTATTCAGTTACATTGACCAATGAAGATAAACAACAAATAGAAGACAGAATCAAGCAAGCCAGTATTTCCCTTAGAAACTGGTGGTGTATGGTATTGTCAGCTGAAGTCCTAACTAAAGGTTTAGTACTATCTAGCAGTAGTACTCAGACTTTCCATTTTCAATGTCCATGGATGTACCTCAAGTTTAGAGCAGAAGATTAAATCTAATCCATCTAACAACATTTAAGCAATGCTCATTATACCCAGAAATTTCTTGAGAGTGTCACAGTCAGACTTGGTAGTGGTTAATCTAAAAATCCACAAGATGGAGTTTATACTTTATCTTTTTGTTTTGATCTTGGTGGAAACTTGTAAAAATTCACCATTACAGAACAGAAAGAACAGTGACTTATAAGTTACAATTCACATAGCTGATGTGTTACATAATCAAAATTCACATTCTATTATATTTTAGAAAGTCAAAAAAAATTCTGTTTCAGAACAAAAGGACAGTACTGACACATCACAACAGAACATATGGACGGTCATCCTCTGTCAAGGAGGAAATGTTACGATGAGAATGAGGGCTCCCACTCCCTTATTTCTCCACAGCACACTGACTACACTAGAGAGAGTGCAGGAGAGTTTCAAGTTATGGAGGATAATTGCAAGCTGTTGTGATTTCACAAGAGACACAGACCAACTGGGAAAAAGATACAAAGAACACACATGTTCTTTTGGACCAAAGACTTTGGCCAATGTGAATCTAGCTAGGATTGTTGGAAAATTTCAACATGCTTGAAGGATGGCAATACAAATGTTAAGTAAGAAACCAGCTTCGGTTGTGTTCATGAGGAAAGGTCTACAATTTTCTCCACAACACAAAATTTTTTTTCTATTGAGCTTGTACTGGAACATAGATATCATTAGGATGCTGCTCCTTGATGTCATACCATTTTGAATATTTCTGAAATCCATATCAGCAACATTGAAGATTGCTTAAATATTCTAAAGAAAATTTCCAAAGTTAAAATAGGTTATGTGGGGGCTGGCCTGGTGGTGCAGTGGATAAGTTTGTGCATTCCGCTTCAGCAGCCTGGGGTTTGTGTGCTTAGATCCCGGGCACAGACCTAGCACCACTCATCAAGCCATGCTGTGGCGGCATCCCACATACAAAATAGAAGAAGACTGGCACAGATGTTAGCTCAGTGGCAATCTTCCTCCAGCAAAAAGAGGAAGATTGGAAATAGATCTTAGCTCAGGGCCACCCTTCCTCACCAAAAAATAGATAATAAAAAATAAGTTTTGTAGGAAAAACTTAAGTAAGCTCTAAATATTCTAATCACGTGTAATTTTATTAAAATAACTTATAAACTCTCCATATTATATATTTAATGATTTATTTCAGTATATTCTATTACTTTTACTCATCAATCATGTATTTCCAATACCATTGAAAAGAAAAGTTTAAGTTTCTACTCACTAGGAAACATTTTGAGGGAAACATTTTTCTAACTATAAAATATTAGAATGTTCTGATCTATTTTAATAATCCCATTGCTAGTCACATAATAGAGACATTACCAATACAGCTAGCAGATTTTTAAAAACTAATTAAATCCATTAGAAGCAGTAGAAAACAGCTACTTATTCATTACCACACAAAGGAAGATGAATGAATTAGACTTTATGTAACTAAAAGCATGTTTCTTTTGGAAAATATTTATATATGAACTTTTATGCAATTTATGGAGCTAATAGGTTTCATTTGCTATAGGAGAATAAATGAAAGTGTGAACTAAGAATGGCATCATACATGTAAACTACAATCAAATTTAAGATGTACTTTATCAAAGAAAGCAATTTATAGTGGTGTTCTTACAAGTGAACATTTAGGAAAACAATAGTCTGGCTAGAGTAAAAATTCAGAATTATATTTGTAATTAATTCAGTATGCTGCCCAGTCTGCTCCACTCCTATTTCTGCTCTACTTGTGATGGTACAAAGAGCCGTAAAATATGTATATAATTACTTATTTAAGTCAAATAATTTATTCAGTAGATGCAGGGATGACCTATATTAACAGGTACCATCACCACGTAAGGGAGTGGCGTGAAAACACTAGTATCCAATATCTATTCAAGCTTCAATTTAGATTGACGTTAAATTTATTAGTCTAATTTCTCATGTAAACATTCACCTTTTCTTACAAGAATTAAGGTTTTTTTGTGCTTTAACCCTTACAGTTTTCCTATGAAATCACTCAGGTTGCTGTTATTCCCATTTCACAGATGTAGACTCAAGCTACCACAACCACACGCTGTACCCTACCCTTGTAAGGTAGTTTTTGGGGCAAAGTTCATGATCCATCTTCAAATATCCTCATTTTGATAAATCAGAATTAAGGGGACAGCTCTCTCCTGTACCATATGCCCTCTACCTAGAATCTTCTTCATTTGGTAAAAAATTACTCATCATCTAGGTTTAATTCAGAAATCACCTCTTCTCTGAAATAGATCCACCTGAAATAGATTTGACTATTCCTGCCTCCATTCCTCAGAGTACTTTATTCATAACTTTTGTAATAACATTTATCATACCATATCATAGTTGATACGCATGTCCATTTCCTTCTGCAGGACTTAGTCATCTTTCTGTCCCTTTCACAGAGCCTGTTACAGGGTCTGGCTTGAAGTAGCTTTTCAATAATTAAAAAAAAATAAATTGAATGAGAGATCCCACAGACAAGGCAACAGATATGAAAAACTGGGTATTGTAACTATTCATGTCCTTGAAGTATATCTTGTCAGTGAGAGAGAAAAGGCTTAAGAGTGAGGCAGGAAATTAACATAAATTATAAAGAGATATTTAAACATGTAGACAAAGGAGGAGAAGAATTGGAAACCTAAACAATGTGTGGTGTCGTGGCAGCTAATGACACAAGTGAAGGTAATCAGAACCAAGCACATTACCATATGAAGAGAAGGATTTCATTCCTGAATGATCAAGGGTTTCTTGTTTAAGTATGTAATTTTCTTATATGCACTCTTTAAGACAGGAAGAAAGAGGAGAAGGATATTATTGATAATAGAGAGTCCTGCAAGAGAAAGAACCCCAGTGAATACTGGCAATTCACCAGTTCTCGCCAGGAAGGATCTCTAAGACAGTGTGCCTTTTGTTAACCGTCTGGTGAGGGTGGAAATGGCTGTTGTAAATTTCAAGAAGAAAACGGTCATTGAGTTCCTACCTCACGCCAAATACTGTGCCAAGAGTTTTCACAGATCATCGCATTTTCCTAACAGAAGTTAGATATCATGGTCCCGATTTTACAGGGAAGGAAACTGAAGATCAGAATGATTGAATGAGTTGCTAACGTTGCACACTTAGTGGGGAGCTTTGATCAAACCAAGATTGGGGACTCTTCTTATAATACCCTACAACCACCTCTTTTAATGTTTGAAAACATTATTACTCACCTACTGCATTAAATTAAAACTATTCCTATTGTAAGACACTTTGCTTAGGCTATTTCACATTTGCTAAATTGTAACTTGAGGATTCCTTTCACGTGAAGTTGGAGAATTTGCCTATATTCTTTGGGCATCTCATGGAAACCACGTTTAGGTAAATTGTTGTCATAGTAGTGATGGCTGACAGGTGTGTCTTCCACGGTTTTCGAGAAGGGCCAGAATCCATACAACTTCACGTTCTCACACAGTTCAACAGCCACGCTTGTGATCATCAAGCCGGAGGACAGGCGATACTCTGTCACACCCTTAGTTCTCCAGAAAAGGGCAAGATTTTTCAGGTACTTGGGATGGAAAAATATCACCTTTTGTCTTGCTTTAAACTCTTTCAGTGTGTCGTACACTTTAAAAGAGGCACCAGTGTTGGCCCTGAAGGAAAATGCTGGCAGAAGAAGGAATGCATCTCCATAGGTGGCAATGTCCTCCAGAAATACCGCTTTCTTTTCCTTTAGGTTCCCATATCTGCCAAATTTTAAAAGATCATAATAAGAACAGCAATAGTAATCAAAGTAGCAGTTTTGGTAACATGAGGCTGAATTTACCACTGGCCAAAAAACTGAACGGTTTATATCACTGTATATAAAAGAGACAAACACTGAACTCAGAGAAAATTCTACGAGTAAATATCATGTAAACATCAAGGTCACATCATCTCTCTTTCTTGGTACACTGAGGCTTTAATTCCTACTTTCTTACAGAGTGATAACTCTTATCGGATACACATTTCTTGTATTATTTTTATCTTCCAACTCGGTAGTTTTTCTTAGGTTGGTTTTTGATGCTGAAACACCTTCCAAATTTATAATGATGAAAGGTTTTCTCAAAGATAACACACTGTTAAAATATCTATGCATTTAAAAAAGTTAAATGAGCTGTACACTCGTGATTTGTGTACCTTTTATACATGTTGTTATAAACTAAAAGTTTCCTTTACAAAGCCTAAAATATCTATATATGTACATACACACAAACACATATTTTAAATTTCCTCCATGTATTGTGATAGCTCTCTGTGCTTGATTTAAATAATGCCTTAGTAAGTAAATACACTTGTAAGCACAATTATGTGTGTTTAGAAAGTAAGCCTTTGGGAGACAGGCATGATATTTTATATTCTGTCAAGAGATACTAAAATTATTTGAGGGGTGTATTCTACTAATAACGATTATTAGTCATTTTTGATGAAAACAATGGAGTACAACTATGTATGGGATTTTTATTAACCAACCAACATTTTGTAGTAGTTACATTGCAAAAAATGAAATAATGGGATTATTTGTTAGTCATAAACTATCCAAAGTGAAAACTTAACTTTGCCAAGTTCTCCTAAGGTTTACTCTCTGAAGTTTCTAAATAGACTAAGCTTTATTAAGAAAGTGCTACCAAGAAAAAAAGAGTAATACTAAAGTTCTCAAAGAAAATTGAAAAAAAGTAACTTCACGATTGTTAAAAAGGATGAAGAGATCAATAAGCTCTCATTTGATTAGCAACATTCAGCTTATGGCATTAGAAGTACAACTGATCGTATCTCCTATGAGCCATGGTCTTGCTGGAAAGTCAACAGTTACGAGTGTAGTCTTACATATTTTCCCAAAAAGCCATTCCAGCTGTATTTCAAGTCAGTCTCAGCAACAAGATCAGTGCTCAGACTAAGAAACATCTTCAATAGTGAAAAAAAAATTGCTTAAACAGTTATGTAACTTGAAGGTACTTACTTTAGTTTTATGATACTGGGATTCACAGTCACAAGATTGGTTTTACTGCCAACATCTTTACTAACATTTCCTGTGGTTGGGGGGAGGTTACACCTGAAATTTGGAAGGGAAACTATTTTCAAAATACAACCAGTAAAAAGAAAGTGTGTATGCAAACATCCACACATATATGTATGATCATTGTCCTTCTATTGGAGAAAATCATTGCTGTTAAGAAATCCTCAGAATCCATCTAATTTCCAATTAAAACCATTTAATAAGTACCGAACTCTTAGTTGGCATTTTAACATTGCACAAAATACGCGAATTTGATAAATGCTTTCAATATTGATTACAACTTTTATAAGTAACAAAACTAGAAATGACAATTACACCTCGCCTAGTTTTTGAAGAGTTCACAGTCCTTTTATTAACATTATTGCTATTTATATTGATTATATTTATACAGTGGTATGATCACCAATTTACAGATTTAAAAAAATTGAGGCATTGCTACTAAGGATATAGACTCTGTCAGAAGCAAAGACGATATAAAAACCCCAAAATCTCCTGATTCCCATATGGATAGTCTTTCCACCAAATTATTCTGTTAATAAATAAAACCTAATGTTCTTATAATGATGTTTTCATATTGATGTTCTCATCCTCTTTGGACTACTAATTTGTTTTTAAATTGGAAAACAAATTAAGAATTGTAATTTTGAGTAATTATATTCCTGTCACAAAAAAGGGAAAGTTGGTTATGATTCCCTAAGTATCATTTACAGAATTTTAAGTAGACCATTTCTTTAAAGCTACTCATACAAAGGGAGCATCTCTGACTGCTTGCTAAGGAAGGAGGTTTAAAGTTGATGTGTTCTGGAATATGACCGAGGCTGAAATATTCTATTCCACGCTCCATGAAACATACAAACAAATGAAACGTACTTCTTTCATTAATAAAAAAAGATACATCAGAAAATAATTAAATATGGCACCTTGGGAAAAATAAATATTAATTAGAGATAATAGGCCACAGAAATGCCTTCATTAGTGGGCTTACAGTAACACATTTACTTTTTAGAACAGTCTCATATTCTTTTTTTTTTTTTTGAGCAAGATTAGCCCTGAACTAACATCTGCCAGCAATCCTCCTCTTTTTTGCTGAGGAAGACTGGCCCTGAGCTAACATCTCTGCCCATCTTCCCCTACTTTATATGTGGGATGCCTGCCACAGCATGGCTTTCTAAGCAGTGCCATCTCCGCACCCGGGATCTGAACCAGCGAACACCGGGCCGCCGAAGCAGAACGTGCGCACTTAACCACTGTGCCACCAGGCCGGCCGCCAGTCTCACATTCTTTTGAAGAATTAAAAGTGATTTCCAACACATATCACAGAAAACTCTAAGGGAAATATCGGGCATTGTGTATGTACACTAACATAGTAAAACCACTCACCACCTGTTTTGGTTCCTTACACACTTAATTGAGAGCTCTCAATCTTTTGAAATAAAAAAAAAAAAGAAGTTTCCAGATTGTTTTTATTAACTCTGAATGTATATAGCCAAAATAAGTACAGGCTTAAAATTAAAGAAATTTTAATAACACCAACCATGGCTAGCCCTCAGTTTGGTTTCAGTTTGGAGGTTAACTTCAAAGGAAACTCTATATTCAGAAAAATACCTGGCATCAGCAAATGTAGAATCTAGAAATACATGCATTTATTTTAGAGTTATAAATTAAACAGCTGTCAAGATTTTTTCTTTTTAGCTTTTAAACCTAAACTTGTTATATTTCCTGTACTTGCTATACAGTAAAATGGCTGTTTAGGTGTAATACTCAGCACACATGTCTTGGAGGTTTTAAGTTTATAAAAAGTCTATTATAAGACAAATTATTTGTCTTCATTATGGCTTTTTCATACTTAGCGCTTTAACCAAAAAAGGTAGTGGCCATTTTAACATTAATCTTGAGGAACATGTTCAATAATTGTTGGACCTTCAGGTCTGTCATTCTGTCATTATCATCAGCGTAAAATTTTAAAATGAGATAAAAGTGAGGGGGGAGCCACTGATTCAAAATCGTGTTTCTTTTTCTTTTGCTACAAAGAGCAGAATTAAATTGATAAGGATCAAAGGATGTCCTCTGATGGGTGAAATCAGGGCTCCTAAAATAGGAAGAAACAGATTTCGACTTACTTTGTAAAAAAGGTGCATTTCAACTGAAATCCATCCTCAACAGGGATGAACCACCTTTCCATCATATTCTGAAAGGAGAGAAGCCCTACATCCTGGCTTATTAGCATAAGCACACATAGAAATCACTTTTGTTTCTGTTTTTGCAAGCTGGCTGGTATTGAGATATAAACATTTTAAAAAGACCAGATTTAGAAGCTGCACGAGTTTTTGTTCTTTAACGTCAAGCCAGAAAACTAAATAAACTGATGTTGCACGGCTATACAATGCCGAAGTCAGCATTTTCCAAAAGTATCATCTGAGAACCAAACTTCCTTGAAATGCTCTGTTAAAAAAAAAAAAAAGATTTTCAAGGTCAGGTGAACCTGGGAAATGTTGCTCTCTAGAGTCCTTCTCAGGGAGCCTTGAAATCCTTAATACACTGAAAGGCTCTGACAAGTTCTGTAGTGCAGACTCTCTTTTACCATGATTTCGCCCAGAGTTTCTGAAAAGTAAGTGATCATAGCACAATTTCATCCTTCTGGTATCAACATTCGGAGGAACTCATGATCCATTTAACACTCCGGGAAAGCCTACCTTGATAATTTGTAGACATAAGCAACACAGGTCAAAGGTCAAAATTTACACGGAGTATCTTTACATTATCCCTTTAAATACCCAACTGAACTTTGGTTCCAAAGAAGCCGACTTGACAGGTCTTACCTAAAAACGAAGTCGGATTCATCTATTTCAGTTCCGCAGAGAGATTCATTCAGAATTCCCCCATTTCCAACCACGGCACACTGATTGTAAGGGGTCTCTGTAAAAGGTTGTGACTAGGAGGAGAAAGCGAAAACTACCATGAAATACCTTCAGTGTTAGAACCACAAGCATCATCAGCTTAATTTAAGGAGCTTAATTTTATACAAGTTAAGGAAAGAAAAAGAAACACAGGTAGTAACCCACAGCATGCCGATCAACTTATAACAAAAAATCCTGTAAACCTAAGTTGCATTTCTCTTGAAAGCAATATACAACATATGATAAACAATATAATGTAATATTACAAAATATATTTGTATATACGATGTAATATAATATAGTTTACCTCATGTAATTAAGTAAATAAAATGAGAATGGCAAAATGTCACACTGGGCCTCTCTAACAAAAAAGGAATATTTTCAGCAAAAAAGAGAAAATAAAGCAATTAGAAAGTAGCGTCAAATTCTCTGTTCTCAGACATAAAATTCATGGCCAATTTAGCGAAAGTTTCCTGTTCTTCTTAAGTAGTTAGACCTTCAGGCTTAGAGATGATAGGAGATTTACGCCTGCCTGCTCCACAGATGACCAGCTAGCGTGCTTCAGCAAGGTCTACCCGCTCTGTGCTGACATATTTCAAATTAATTTCCAAGGCCTGAATCTTTTGTATTTCCTCCAAGGACCCAACTTACCTACCCTACAAGATTTCTCACTTACAACAAATCCTCCCCAGTGAGAAACATAACTTTCCAGCTCGACAGCGCACCTCTCCTTTGCTGGTCACTTTCCCCAAACGATGTGACCTTGACCGGCAGCAAGGGTGCCAGCTCAGACTCCACCGTGACAAAGGCCTGATTCACCTGTTCTGTCTCCAGAATGTGAGTGTCAGTCCTCAAGGGCAGAGAGGGTGTTCATACTGTTAATTTCCTCTCATCTTTTGTTGCAAACCTAGCATGATGCAATGGATGCACTGACTTTTCAATAAGTGCTTGCTGGCCCAGTGGCCCACCGTGGTGCAGCTCCCAGCATTGTGCTGGAGCCCACTTGTATGAGCTTGTGAGAGCTGACTGGTAAACATTCAGGAATGGTGTGAGCTGGTTGTTAAACCACTGGTAAATTAACATCGGCCATGGTGGGAGTGTTCACATCACTGAAATTGGCAAATGCTACAAAGCACGCCACCCTCCTGTCCAAAGCCAGTTGGACCAGCATCCCTGGCAACTCCCCAGGGCTGATGTGGTTCTGAGCAGCCCAATGGACCCCAGAATCGCCATGACTTCCATGTGCTCCTGATGCTGGATCCGGGAGATGCCAAACAAGCAAAGAAAACTCTGTTTCAGCACTTCTGGGTTTTGTCTTTAAAAATTAAAAATCACATCATGCTTATTAGGGGAGAGGCATTGTTCCAAGTACATAACTTATTTTGCATTTAATTCACATAACAACGTTATGAGTGTTTTACAGATGGGAAAATGGAGGTAGAAATTTAAGTAACGGCTAGAAAGTGGCAGAGCTGGATTCAAACCCTGGCAGCCTGCTCCAGAGTCCACGCTCTTAACCACTAATACACATCACATGGCTTCTCACATTCAATGACGAGATGTTAACTTAAGCATGTGCCTTATTTCTCTTTATATCCGCAATGCATAGCGGCATAGTGCTTGGCTCTTAAACGAATGGTTCTCAGATACCTCAAGACTATTTCAAGTCACTGAACTTCTAGCTCAAGATGTCTTCAGACAGTGTTTACTAAACGTTAGCACAATAAATTCTGAATTTTACAGATAGGGTAGGAATGCAAATATGCTCTTTATGGGACAATAGAAAAGATTACTGAGGAAACATACCTCCAATTAAGCACTGAAAAGAATGAATGTTTTTCTCTGGTTTCTTGGTCAACTGGGGGAAAACATCCATATGCTTTGGGATCTCATGTTCCCTAAGAGTTTAAATAAATTACAAACTTCAGCATTCCCTAAGATAGATCTAAGAAAATGCAAATTTGCGCGACTCAGCTGTCTGCCCATGGCTCACTCTGGTTGAAAACCAACTTTGTCGTTTTCCTTTTCGACTCACTGAGCAAAGTTTTTGGAGGAGGTAACTTCACAACATTTAATCAAAAGCATTTACTGTGTCCTGCTGTGTGCCCCGCAGTTGTCGGGGCTGAGAGCCACAGAGCAGGGCAGGCGTGTAAGACGCAAGGCTGAGAAAGAGGCCAGCCTCCCCGGGAGCTGCATCCATGCAAAGGGAATGTTTAAGCAACATAGGAAAGTGACCTAGCTTTGCAATTGTTACTGTATTGACTTCAGAATTTCCTCCGCCCAATATTTAAACATCAGTATAAATCTGGAAAATGGATGCTTTTGTTAGTTGCATACAGAATTATCAAGCCCATGTTAAGTTATTCTTTTCAAGGTGTCATTTAGAGTTCAAATTACCTGCTCCTCCTCTGTTCTGGTCCATCTAAAGCAAGGAAAACACTAGTAAAGATTGCGTGGGTGAAAGAGTTGCTCATTGAGGAACCTCCATGGCCTTTCCTGACAGGGCGTATAAATATTCTTTAGTTATTATCTTTTCAATGATTGGTTATTTCAATGCACCATAAGGGCATTTTTAGAATGCTTTATGAGTCATTTTTTAGTTCCCCTTTTTCTTCCAGAAAATTTACAAGATTTTTTCTCTCTCATTTTCTATTTATTTCTCATTCACTGCAAGCAAATTATTCTTCCTTTGAATTGTAATACAAAAAAAAATGTTGGAACAACTTACATGACCAAAAATAAATTAGTTGAAAGAAGTCAGAGGTCCAACAAAAAGAAATTAATTGTAAGGATCCAATATTCTAGATAGTTGGGAAATTGGATGTATAAAGTGATCGCATTTTTGACTTGGTCTAATTGCTTTTAATCAAATCATAAAAAGATTCCTGAGAGTGTAAGTTTTTAAGCAACGGGACGTTCTTCATGACAAAAATATCCCCCAAGTTCAGATTTATGTTAAAGGACAAGTTTCTTCTTGTAATGATACTATATCATTACTCATTAGTTTATTTAACAAATATGTAATGGGTGCATCTATGTACTGTGGAATGTTCTACGAGCTTGAGATACATCAATGAACACAGCAGACAAAAATCCTTCTCTCATGGAGGTTATGTTTATTGACCACGAATTCTTATCTATTTACTTCCCAAAGATTAGCCACATAAACCTACAGCTCTTTGTGAAGGAAGTGGTTTAGTCACCAAAACTGACAACTGAAAGAATCTTATTCCAGGTGAAAAACGGTCATCTTCCCACGTCCTCGTAATTACTACACAGAACGCCCAAGTACCTCATCTCATTCAAGGATGAGTCATGAAGACTCAAGAACTGGGACAGCTTATCATTTAAGATATAAATACCATTCCCTACGGAGCCACTTTGAATCCAAAATTGCCTTTTGAAAACAGACCTCGATAAATATCTTATACAACAAAACAGAGTATGGCATTTTAACTCATGAACTCCTCCATTATTACACATTATAACTAAAGTGAGACAAAATTCACCTGGAATGATGATATAAATAAACCAGAACAAATCTTTACTCACCACTGGAAACATATTAAAAATTCTCTCTCTAATTAGGATTTCCTTTTTACTTTCCACCTCATAACTCATGTTAGTCCCAACTGGCGTGTTATTTTGAGAAACAATGAAGTTTTGAACAGCATCACAACAGGAAGCAAGTTTGGCTCTGCAAAGGATAAGAATAAAAGGGAGCCAAGGAATAAGATTAAGAAACCAAAAATAGAGGCTACAATGGAAAACGCAAAAGAGGATTTTGCCATATTGACTTTCAGAAAGAAGATAAATCATTCATAAAGATGACATTTTTATCTCACTCCATTCCAACTGGCCCTGGATGGTGAAAGATGACCTGGCAGAGTAAAACGGCAAAATATATTAAACATACTTATTCTCAGTTAGAGACTCTGTTACCAGTAGAAATATTCATTAATACAACGGTTTTAAATATAAAAACTTTCTTCTAATGATAATGTTATAACAGAGAGAAAAATGACAGAATACATTATAATCATTTTATAATCATAATTTTTCATAATAATAATAATTTTATAATAGTTATAAAGTACAGGAACTAAATCAAGAACGGTGTTATACAATCAACAAAGAAATATGTAATTATTTATTACGAGACATGTGATGAAAAGTAGACTCATTCGATACAGTGACTTTTTTAGCTTGATTGAGAAATAATCCACAAATGAAAATGGTTTATATTTGGGGCTGGCCCCGTGGCTGAGTGGTTGGGTTTGAGCGCTCTGCTGCAGGTGGCCCAGTGTTTCGTTGGTTCGAATCCTGGGCGCGGACATGGCACTGCTCATCAGACCACGCTGAGGCAGCGTCCCACATGCCACAACTAGAAGGACCCACAACGAAGAATATACAACTACGTACCGAGGGGGCTTTGGGGAGAACAAGGAAAAAAAAAAAAGGTTTACATTTAAGGTGTATTGTTTCATGTTTTGATATGCATATACATTGTGAAATAATCATCACAATCAAGCTAATTAACATATCCATTAACTCATATATTTATAATTTTTTTCTTTTTCTTTAATTTTTTTTGGGGGGGGTGAGAACACTTAAGATCTCGTAGCAAATTTCAAGTATCTAATACAGTATCACTATAGTTGCATTGTTGTACATTAATACAGTGCAATTATTTTATTGAACACAGTAAATTTTTAAGTGAAGCAAGTTTAAATTTGCCATTCCTTATAGAGAGCCCAGAAAAATGTAATTCAGTACATTTCAAAACTATATTTCAAAACTATTACTCTGGAGTGAAACATTATCATTAGAATGCAGACCCAGGAAGGTCCTTCCGGGGATCACCTGCTTGTGCCCCCAACTGCCAGGTGAACCTAGAACCACCTAGAATTTACATTCTGTTTACATGATTCTCCAGGGATGCAGATTCCACAGCATCTCTTGATAATTGTTCCAGAGTTTAATCAACCTTGAAGTCAAGAGATTCTGCCATTTGCACAACTGAACCATCTCTTAGCTTAAATCCATTACCCTTGTTAGTTTTTTGTAGAATCTCCTCATAAAAACATTTCATCTAATAGAAAGTGGTAATCAAGCAAAACTTGAATCTTTTCAATCTTGACGAATTTATAGAATTTCCTCTTCTCTTCTCTCAGATTTTCCTCATAGGACCAGTTTTTCATTATTTTAGTCATTTGTTCCTCTTTAAACCTTTACTTATTTCTCCATATTTCTTAAAAATATATGTTAAAGCTGGATCCAATCACAGCCCAAGGGACAGTGGATATTCAGCGGGCAGAGCTGACAGTGGTCAGTGCTGACACCCTCGATTTATAACTGGCCCTTCCTCATTCCACACTTTTTTGTTGACTTTTGGTCCTGAAGGGTATACTTTTGTACAGGTTTCTACTGAAGTCTGATCTTTTGAAAAAAATACCGTGCTCTAATCTGCCATGGTCATTTTGAATTATATTCCAGTCTTCCTAAATTCCAATAATTCTCAGGGTATGAAAAGTCAGTGCTGTGATATTATTTGTACCCCAAAGTCAAGACTTTCAACAATACTTCTTATCAGTTGACTTGCATCATTAAAATAGTGCATTCTCCTTAGCTCAATTCTATCACCTACTTATTACCCATCTTTGTATTTCAGAACCTATTTCTAAAAGATAGTTCACAGAGATGAACAAAACAAAAAAACTGGAAATGGAATGATGCGTAGTCAAAAACATGATACTAAGCAGTTTTTAATTATAAATTTAATTTCATAACAATTCGTGTGACACATGGCAAGCTCAGAAATCCTTATGTGTTTATAATTTTAAATATCTCTTTTATCCAGCATCTCGAGAAAGGCAATGTAATGAAATCTCATTTACCTTTGACAAGCAACTTAATTTCTCTAAGGATATTCAGTGCTTAAAAGTATACTGCATCACCAAAAAACACTAACCAGAGTACCCTTTGAGGTTTTTTTATATCAATAGGCTTTTTCTGAAATTATATATAGATATATATTTATTTATATTGCATAATAATATATTGCATATATTGCATATAAATATAAACATATTATATTTACATCACAGGGAAAGATTTGCCCTGAGCTAACATCTGTTGCCAATCTTCCTCTTTTTGTTTTTCCCTCCGCAAAATCCCAGTACATAGTTGTATATCCTAGTTGTAAGTCATTTTAGTTCTTGTATGTGAGCCACCACCACAACATGGCAACTGACAGATGGGTGGTGTGTTTCCTTGACCGGGAAGCGAACCCAGGCGGCCAAATTAGTGAGAACGAAACTTTAACCGCTAGGCCATCAAAGCTGGCTCCTGAAATTACGTTTTTAACATTATGCTATAAAATTTCCCAAACCTACAGGAAAGTTGGAAGAATTAGATAACAAGCACTTGAATAACCACCAGATAGACTCTACAGTTAACTTTTTACATATTTGCCTTATTGTTCATTTATCCGTCAATCCATTGTTGCTGTAATTATTGCAATTCAAATGACAGATACCAGTAGACTTCACCCCTAAACACTTCAGCATGCTTATCATTGTTTTGTTTATATTTTTGGGTAAAATCTATGTATAATAAAATTATAACTGCATTCAACAAGTTTTGAAAAATGCATTCACCTCTGTAACCCAATCGCCCACGAAGATATAGAGTATTACCAGCCCCTTGCCCCTAGAAATTCTCTCACGTCCCTTCCCAGGCTGTCTCCAGCCCTCTTTCATCTGGAGGCAACCATTTTGTGATTATTTTTTGCCAAAGATTAATTTTGCCTGTTCTAGAATCTATATAAACAGAATCGTACAGTACGCATGTTTTCCTGTAAGACTTCTTTCTCTTGGCACAAACGTTTTTGCAATTCATGTACATTGCTGTGTGTATCAGTAGTTTATTCCTTTTTATTGCTGGAGTAGTATTTTAGAGTTAGTTTAGCCATCCCCTTTGCACTTTAAAAAAATCACTATCAAAAATCAATCTTAAACACCTAATCACTCATAAAAACCTCCCAGAAAAAAATATCAGAATAATTATCCAAAATGTCATTTCTGAAGGCCACCTAGGGCCACTGACTAAAGGGACTTTTTAAGCCTTTATATGCAGTGGTAGAATTATAAATTTAGGCTCTTTGTCGCTTCCCAGCTCATCCATGTGGTAGAGACCCCTGGAATAGCCAGTGTTGGTATAAAGTTGAGCTACTTATAACAAACAAAACAAAATGGAATCTTACCTCTGTTATTCTATTTCCCATCGTCCCTAAAAAGAGTCAATTCTGATCCTTGGTGACTCCAAAGTCCGCTAGACATGTTCACAATAACGGACATGGCAATTTTCCCCTTCTTGTGTAAAAAGTAAGGGAGATGTCAAGAAATGAAGGACATCGTTGGTATTAACTAGATGTGATGGTCGATTTTATGTGTCAACTTGACTGGGCCAAGTGGATGCCCAGATAGCTGGTAAAACATCACCTCTGGGTGTGTCTGTGAGGGTGCCTCCAGGAGAGATTAGTATTTGAATCAGTAGACAGAGTAAAGAAGATCACCTTCCCCAAAGCAGGTGGACATCGTCCAATCCACTGAAGGCCTGAATAGAACTAAAGATGGTAGAGGGCCAATTTGCCCTCTGTTGAGCTGGGATATCTATCTTTTCCTGCCGTCAGACATCATCACTCCTGTTTCTCAGACCTTCAGACTCAGACCCAGGCTTACGCCATGGGCCCCCTAGTCCTTGAGCCCTCAAACTAGGACTGGAACTTACACCATTGGTTTCTCTGGTTCTCAGGCTGTCAGGGTTGAACTGCAACTAAACCACCAGCTTTCCTGGATCTCCATCTTACACATGGCAGATCAGGGAACTTCTCAGCCTCCATAACTGCATGAACCAATCTTTCAAAATAAATCTCTTTCTATATAGCTATACATATGCTATTTCTTCTGTTTCTTTAGAACACCCTAATACAGATATGGATACCAAGAAGTGGGGGTGTGGCTATAACAAATACCTAAAAATGTGGGAGAGGCTTTGGAACTGGGTCATGAGTAGAGACTGGAAGAGTTTTTAGGTTCATGATAGAAAAAGCCCAGATCTCCCTGAACAGTATTTTAAAGGTGAGTCTGGTGAGAGCTCAGAAAGAAAAGAGAGCAGCAGAGAAAATGTCCATCCCCTTAGAGAATACCTAAGTAATCATGAGCAGAATGTTGATTGACATATGGATGGTAAAAGCCATTCTGATGAGGCCTTAGATGGAAATGAGGAACATGTCATTGGACAAGGGACAAAAGGCAGTCCTTGTTATAAATTGGCAAAGGACTTGGCTGAATTGTCTTAGAATTCTAATGTTCAGTGGAAGGTAGAACTCGTGAGCAGTGAAATTGGATATTTAACTGAGGAGATTGCTAAGCCAAATGTTGAAGGAGAGGCTTGGTTCCTCCTCACTGCTTATAGTAAAATGCAAGAAGAGAGAAATGATTTGAAGACAGAACTATTAATAAAAAGGGAAGTAGAACTTCTTAAAGATTTGGAAAATTCTCAGTCTATTCATATTGCAAAAATGAGAAAGTGTGCTTAGGAGAGAACACTAGGGTATGACCAGGCATCCATTTGGTAAGGAGATCAGCCTGGGTGTGAACCAGGGATCTATCCAGCCACCCAGCAGGAAAACTG